GAGCTGCTGAGTTTCTCCAGCAATTTCTGTTTTTTTTTGTTTTGTTTCCGATCGCCAGCATCCGCAGTTGTGGTTTATTTTAGCCCTTTTAGAGTCCTGACAGACGCTCATCCTCCCCAACATTAAAAAAACTCGTTATCACACGGTTATTTGGTGGGAGAGTTCCTGCTGTGCACAAATAAGGATGGGTATATGAACAGGAAAGGTTTAGAGAGATATGGGCCAAATGCTGGCAAATGGGACTAGATTAATGTAGAATATCTGATCGTCACGGACGACTCGGACCGAAGGGTCTGTTTCCGTGTTGTACATCTCTATGACTCTTAAGTTTGCAACATTAAAACAGTGACCACACTCCCCAACGCATTGCACTGGTTGTTAAAGCGCTTTGGGAACGCCCCAGGGTCGTAAAAGAGCAACAGTGGTAAAACCTTCTTTAAAAAAAACACACTAATTGTAAAGTGGTTAACGAGATAGATACTCGAAGGGGGACAAAACGTAACAGGGGTACGTGGGAATTGAGACGAATGGGATGGCTCTTTCCAAGGAGATGACACAAGGCAGCGTGATGGGGCCGAGTACCCTGCTTCTGTGCGCTGTATAAAGTGTGCATGATTTCAGGAAGAGCTTCCGTCGGAGTCCTGTCCGGAGCAGCAACCGGCACTACCGCCCGCCGCTAACGACATTCACTCCCTTACCTGCACATTGCCTTTCGTTCGCTGTTTGTTTTTCCCACCCATCGCGAGCCCACTCTCCACCTCGCTGCACTTCCGTTACTTTCAAACGGCCACGACACTCCACATTCCCCGCACCCGCCCCCCAACCTCCCACTGCGCTTGCGCCGAGGCACCCCGTGTGCTCCTCTCTTGAACCAACCGGCCAGAAACAACAACCCTCAACTTGTGTCACATCCCTAAAGAGCCAAGTCCTCATGAGACAGACACGACGGTATTTTGCAGTGATTTGAAGGTGGGAAGTGGCTCGAATAGTGCAAAGTCCGGGGGAATCTAGGTGACGCTGTATTCCAGGGAATTTCGATTTTTGTTTTGGTTACGGTTTCGGCATACGGTTTCCACCTTCTTAAATCCCACTGAGGTCTTTGATTCATAATGAATTTGCAAGCATGTGGATTAGAATACACAACTTGCACCTGTAGCATGATTAACGTCGACTAAACACCTAAGGTGCTTAAAGGAAGCAACATCAGCTAAACAAGGGATGTATTAGGCTGGTGCCCCAAAACCTGGTCAAAGATGAATAGGTTATTTCCAGAGTTCACTCATGAAATCCAGAATGTACTCCCCATTTTCTGAAGGCATGTTTGGTCGTTCGTATTACAGGATGCTGCAAAGGGCACAGTTGGAGTAATGAGGAGTTCTTGAAAAGTTGTGTGACCTTTAGAAAATTACCGATATCATGAAGAAATTTGGACACGATATGACTTTTCAATTTGGTTTGGGAAACTAATGCATGTCTCAAAGTAATATGTTTTGGTGTACGGAAGGATACCAACAACAGTGTTTTAGACGAGTTAAGGTTTATGGAGTGTGGAGGATGTGAAGCTGATTGGGAGAATGTTATAACAATGGAGTCTGAAGACGGAGATGGTGGATTGTGATAGGTGATGTTGTGGACGTGGAAGTAGATATATGGGGGAAGGTAGGAGAGAATTACTTCAGGATTGGAGCAAGAGATCGTTTTGAGGAAGATTTGATATAATAGGAAAGTGGAGGAGAGTAGAAATTCTCAACAGTGATAAAGAAATCTGAATTCCTAGTACTGGTTGGAGTTGTGAGGTAGGACCAGGTAAAAACGATCTCAGAAGATGGTCTGTAGTGGTGAGAAGGAGCCAAAGGTTATCTTAAATTTCCAGAAGATTGTTGGGAATGTCACTGAGAGTCATAGAGTTGTACAGCACAGAAAAAGATCTTTCAATCCAACTTATCCATGCCAATCAGATATTCTTCATTAATCTAGTCCATTTGCTAGCATTTGGTCCATACCCCTCTAAACCCATCTAGATGCATTTTAAATGTTGTAATTGTACAGCCTCCACCACTTCCTCTGGCAGCTCGTTCCATACACGCACCACCCTCTGTGAAAAAATTGCCCCTTAAGTCCCTTTTAATTCTTTCCCTCTCACCTTAAACCTATGCCCTCTAGTTTTGGACTCCCCCATCCTGGGGAAAAGACCTTGGCTATTCACCCTATCCATGCCCCTCATGATTTTATAAACTTCTATAAGGTCACACTTCATCCTCTGTCACTCCAGGGAAAATAGGCCCAGCCTATTCAGCCTCTCCCTATAGCTCAAACCCTCCATCCCTGCCAACATTCTTGTAAATCTTTTCTGAATCCTTTCAAGTTTAACAACATCTCTCCTATAGGATGGAGGCCAGAACTGAACACAGTGTTCCGCAAATGGTCTATCCAATGTCCCATACAGCCTGTTTTCACAGGGAGCCTGAAATGATGATGCTTAATGGTAGATGTGGCAGTGGGTGAAAACCAGTTGTGTATCAAATATACTGAAGTGCCTTTGAACTTTAAGAAGCAGTGATAAGATTCATACTTGGGAAATGATAAGATGGAAAACAATGTGATTTAACAGAAGGGGCATTAAAGTCAGAGAGAGTAATTGAACACCTCAATAGTTGCTGAACTTTTGTGACAGAGGTGGAGGGTTTAACATTGGAGTTTAATTTGTTTTGTTGCAAGTGATCAAGAGAGATATTATTCCATGGCTGACAATACAAGAAATGGTTTGGAAAATAAAGCTGATGAGAAATAACAAGTTGTCGGAGTTGTGGTGTTTATGTTGGTCAGATTAGAAATTGCCATATTGCAAAAGTAATTATTAATTTGTGCTCTCTATCTTAAAATTGAAGATTAACAAACTTTTCTGAATTGTAATTATCATCATAAACATAGAAAACTAACATGACTATAATAAGAAAAAATAATGGAGATAGTATATTAGCACATTGAGAAAATCTGATTAGCTTGTCCTTACAGGACCGAAAACCAAATATCGGATGTTGTGACTTTCTTTCAAAGAAAATCTCGCCTCTGCTTAAGTATTTGGTGCCTCGTTAAGAGTGCAATTCTAATTCTGTTCTCACTGATAAGTACACATTTGGAGATACAACAACGTGAATTTAATTTAAATTTAGCTTGCTTTTTTACAATTTCTTCTGTGAGCTATCTTGTTGCCTGTGAAAAAATCACTCCTTAGCCACCTCCTTTTCATGCCACAAAGTTCTCCTCTGCACTGCCTCCAATATCAAAATGTATGAAATGATGACCAGAAAATGGAAACAGTCTTCCTAAGTGTGATCCATCTAGAATGCTAAAAGATGGAGCACTAATTCTTCAGATGATTTTTGGCTAAGTAATGTAGCATTCTGTTCTAGAAGGGCTCTGCATTAATTGCTCATGTTGAGTGTGTTTTGGTATCAGCTATACCTGTTTCAAGATCATTCCTGGAATATGGTTTATTTTACTTCCTATGTGAAATATTTTATGTTTGACTGTGTTAAATTGTATTTCAGAAATTGCTGCAAAAGCTCAGCAGTCTGGCAACATTTGTGAAATCAGAGGTTAACGTTTTGGGTCCAGTGACCCTTCCTCAATTCTGAGGATCACTGGACCTGAAACGTTAACTCTGATTTCTCCTCACAAATGATACCAGACCTGCTGAGGTTTTTCAGCAACTTCTGTTTTGTTTCTGATTTACAGCATCCACAGCTCTTTTGGTTTTCATTAAAATCTATTTGCCAGTTTATTGCTTATTTCATTTGCCCAACTCATTTCTGCATTTTCTGAGGTAACGTCTCAGGTTCTACTGCTTCTTGAACTTTGGTATCCTTTGCATATTTGCCCACTTCATTATCAGTTTCTGAATCTAGGTCATTTGAATAAATTAACAACAATAATGGTCCCAACTGAGAGGCCTGGAGCAGACAATTAATTTTACCCTAACCATCCCAAGCCCAACATAACTCCACAAGCTTATACACTTCAGTCATGAAACATACTTCAAAACAAGGCTTAATTCTAAAATGTCAGAAGACTAGCTCACAATGAATCCATTTACTCGGAGTTTAAAAAAATCAAGGGTATTTCCCATTTGATATTTTATGAAAATTATATTATAGTTTATTTTTAATCTATTTATAGTAAATGCAAGCTGCTCTTGTTCTCGTCTTTGTGGTGAAAACTGGGCACTTAGAAAAGTGATTTGTTTTGCTTTTAAGTTCTTGAACCATTAGCATTGCGATTGAAGTAACCAGGTGATTACTGTAGCAGTAAAGTCACCAAAACAGACTGGTTTATTTACTCCCAAACTCTATCCTTCCAGAATCCATCTATTCCTGACAAAGACACTGAAATCTAAGGGAATCGGGGTGCACTGTAGCACAATAGGAAACCTATTTGGGAATATTCCTCTGAATTTAATGGTGAGACTTCATTATCATTTTTTAAAACCATTTCCCACCTGGCAACCGGACACATTAACAAACTGACCTGGTGGCAAGAAAGCCAGCAGTCGAAGTCTACAGCCAGGGTCTGTTGGCGCCTGCTGAAACTGACACTTAACAAACATTTTGGAGTTGTTGTTGGCAGATAATCGAAGCCTGGCAATTAAGTCATAAAGTCAAGAAGACATGGGTTACTCTCTTATTAGAGTCAAGTGGTGTTGAGTTTAATCTAAGAGTCACCACACCTCAGGCAAGGGGTGAGATTGAAAAGGACAGTCCTTCATGGTAACCTCAGCCCAGACAGGAATTGAACCCACGCTTTGGTATCATAAACTAGCCATTCAGCCAACTGAGCTAACCAACCCACTGAAATGAGTGGGAGGTAAAGATTGGGAATTGAACGGTGTGTTCAGCCAAATAATTACAAGAAGAAGAAAAGACAGATTGAAGGGTTCAGGTTGTTGGAAGCACACAACAAATAAAGTCTATTCAAACAAATTATTCTTGAGAATGCAAATAGAAAATTCAGCATTGCATTTATTACAAAAAGTTTCTATATAGAAAAGTTATGGCACAGAAATTTCTGGAAATACCTGTGGATGTTACGTTGATGTTTCAGGAGGACATTCAGCCCACTGTGTCTAAATAGGTGAAAAAGATTTATCTAGCCTAATACCACTTTCCAGCTCTTGCTCGGTAGCCCTGTAAGTTATGAGGAGCTCAACATTATATTCAAATTGTTGTTTGAATACTGTCAGTTTATTAACATGTATCTTCTCCAAGCAGTTTATGATAATGGGCCATATGTTGAATTGTTGGTAATTAATAAAAACAATGCTTTTTTGAAACACAATAAGTATAGCAAGCCTTTTAACCTAATCAAGTATTCCAGGTGATGAATCTGAAAGACTTGCTATGATCATTACGGCTTCTTTACCAATCATTACCATTCAGAATATTACTGTCCTCAATATAAATTAATTGAAGATATTACTGCTAAATGGTTTTGCAAATTATCACAATTGATTAATTTAACTTTGTTTTTTGAGAGGTTATCTTTGGTAGAAACTACAGTTAGTGTTTTCAATACGTGTAGCTTTTTCTCTGGCATTGATTAATTAACCAAACATCTACCATAACCATGACTAGATATGTATAATCATAGATTAAAGATTGGAATCATAAGATTGCTAAATTAATACAAAACAAATAAAAGCAACATACAGTACAATCAAAAACATTAAGTAGCTAGTTGAATAAATCAATTGAATAAAGTTATCATGTCAAGAGAGCTGGCAAAGGCACAACAGGCTGAATGGCATCCTTCTCTGCTGTAACCGATGATTCAAAACTGAGGATTTTTTAATAAATGTAACCAGACTTCTAATGTTTGTAGCTGGTTAGGATACTAGATTGTAATATTTAATTCGATAACAGTCACAGCATATCATGGTACATTTAAACAATTGTTTTCATGTTATAAATATAGAATGTTGTGAATGCACAAATAATTTACAACGTTCTTCCTTCAACACCAAAGTACAATTGAAAAACATCTCCACATTCCTTTTCATTTAAAAATTGGTACAGTTGTCCCAGATCCATATGATTTCCCTTGGTACCACGTACATCAAATATTTTTTCTTCAAAATCAGTAAATTTGCGAAACATTTGCATTGCAGCCTCTGTGCCATTGTTTGTGATGTCCAATGTAGCATCTTCTCTGTGGCGGATTAGAATCCTCTTCCAGGTCAACCGTTTAGCTCTGGAAAGTGATGAAAATAGGTTACAATGAGATGAAACACATGATATGAGTCTTGGTACATCATAATACAGTGTGTGGTTTTGGAGTGTTTGTATCTAGCATATCACCACTTAGTTTCCACTATTAGTATTACTGCTCTGGGAACTTATCAAAGTTCAGGCCAGCAAGTTAGTCAAATACTATTCACCTTTATTAAAATTATTGCTGAGATTCATTATTGGTCCCTAATTTTCCAAGTGTCAATTAATTTTCTTCTGGATTAAGGGCTGTCACATTTCCCGCCACTGACATTGGACCGACTTGATCTGATATCAACAGATTTATGCTTCACATTTTTTCTGGAACAGGGGCAGAACATTTACAGTCCTCCAGTGCTTTGAAACCACTCCTATATGTAAGGAAAATTAGAAGATTGTAGTTAAAGTCTCCTCAATTTCTATTATATTTCCCCACAGTGAATTAAGAAGAATTCCACTGGTTGTAGTGACCGGTCTACTTTGAGAATTGTGAACCTTTCAAGCGCCTGTTCTATCAGCCTATTATTATGACTACTTCTTCCTTCACTGCCACATTATCAGCAGACTCATTTTCAGTAAAAAAAAGGAACTCATTTAGTACTTCAACTATGCCCTTTACCTCTACAATTAATTAATTAATTCACTCATCCCCACTTTACTTAGACTACACATATTATAAAAAATACCGCCCTTTGGAATGCCTACTTGTTGAGACAGTAGAGCATGCTGTCTGGGACATGAATGGCCCTATTGTATAGGTAGCTGAAGGGAGAAAGAGATCAAACCAATTCTGGTAAATTTGTTTCTTTTCTCATAACCTTTCATTGTTGATTAATGGGAGGATTGTAGCATAACCATGTATGGCCAAATAATTCAGATATCTGCACTAGAAATGAGTAAAGGACTTGTGGGTTTAGTTAGAGGTTTCTGGTCAAAATCAAGTGACAAATGCTGAGGCTTCAACAGCAGATTAAGGTCTGGAGAAAAGGAAACCTATAAAATATTAGAATAATGGTATCGGTAATCAAGGAGGGTGACTGCGATAACAAAATTAACATCAAACAGGAGGAAATATTTGCAACTTTAGCAGGCTTAAAATTGGATAAATCCCCAGGACTGGATGAGATGTATTGTAGACTGTTGTGGGAAACAAGAGAGAAGATTGAAAGGACCTTAATATTAATTTTAAAATCCCTTCTGCACACAGCAGAGGTTTGGAAGACAGCTATTCTGGTACCATTATTCAAGGAAGTGATAGGGACAAATCATGGAAATACAGGTCAGCAGCTCCAGCATCAATAATAGGGAAAATTTTGGAGAAAAATTGACAGGCAAAATTTTCATCTCCCTGAAAAGACAATAATTAATCAAAGATAGTCATCATGGTTTTGTCAAGGAGAGACGTATATTTGAGTGAAATTTCATGAGGAGACTTCAGTAAAGCATTTAACAAGGCGTCACATAGAAGACTGGTTAAGAAGCCAACAGCCTTTGGAATCTGGGCAAATTGTCAAATTGGATCTCAAATTGGCTTAGTGGCAGACAGCAGAGTGTACTGACTAAAGGTGGTTTTTTGACTGGAAGCCTGTCTCGAGAGCAGACTGCAGGATTTGGTGCTGGGTCCTTTACTATTTGTAGTGTTCATTAATGATTTAGTCACGAATACATGAGGTTTTATCAGTATGTTTGCAGATGACACAAAAATTGGTGGTGTGGTAAATAGGAGGAAAACTTTAGACTGTAGGAAGATACAGATGGGCTGGTCAGATGTGCAGAACAGTGGCAGATGGAGGTTAAACCTGGAAAGTGTGAAGTCATGCATTTTGGGAGGTCTAACAAGGCAAGGGAGTACAAAAATGGTAGGACTAGCTTAATGTTGTCTGGTGTACTAGGTCAAAATCCTAGAATTCTCTCCCAAACGGCATTATGGGTATACCTACAGCACGTGGACTGCAGCAGTTCAAGAAGGCAGTTTACCACCACCTGCTCAAGGCGAATTAGAGACAGGCAATAAATGTGGGCCAGCCAGCAATGCCCACTTCCCACAATTACATTATTTTTAAAACAGTGCATACTATAAGGTTAAAGGCAAGAGGACAAATGGACAGGGTGGTTAAGGCGGCATATGGGATATTTGTCTTTATTGCTGATGCATGGAATACAAGATCTGGGATGTCATGATGGAGCTTATAAAATGGTGGTTAGGCCATAGCTGGAGTACTGTGTGCAGTTCTGGTTGGCAGTCTATACAAAGGGTGTGATTGCATTGGAGAGGGTACAGAAGAGATTCACCAGAATGTCGCCCATACTGGAGTGTTTCAGCTATTTAGAGAGTCGCACAGGTTAGGGCTGTTTTTCTTGGAGCAGTGAAGGTGGGGAGATCTGATTGAGGTGTACAGAATTATGAGGGAAATATATAGGTCAATAGGAATAAACTTTTCCCTTTACTACAGTGTTCAATTACTAAGGACATAGATTTACGGTAAGGACAGAAGGTTTATAGAGATTTAAGGAGAGATGTGTTCACTGAGAGGGTTGTGGATATCTGGAACTCACTGCCTGAAAGGGTGGGAGAAGCAGGAAGCATTACAACATTTAAGAACTATTTAGCAATTGAAACTCTGTGGAATACAAGTGCTAGAAGACTGGATTAGAATAGATAGATGTTTGATGACTGTCATGGACACTGCAGCTGTAAGGCCTCTTTCTGTGCTGCAATACTCTACGGACCTTTTGTTTTATATTTACATTGTGCTGTTAATGTAATAAAACATTCCAATATGCTAAACAAGAGCATTATAACAAGACACCAAGCCACATTAGGAGATATTAAGTCAAATGATTAAGACTTCAGTCAAAAGATAGAAAGGAGTAAAATAAACTGAAAAAAGGAGGAAGGCAAGATAAGAGGGAGAGTGGGGAGATGGAATTCCAGAGCATTCAGCTCGCCAATTAAATGCATGGCTACCACTGGCAAAACAATTAAAATTGAGATGTACAAGTATCCTGAAAGACTGTAGGAATAGCTAAGTGTTGTTCAACTGGAGGAGATTTTGGATACAGGGAGAGGCTTGGCCATGGGGTCTCTGAAATCAAGCTTGAGATTTTTACAATTGAGACATTACTCAACAGTGAGTTAATATAAGTCAATGAGCACAAGGGTATTAGGCAAAAAGGTCTCAGTGTGTCATAAGACATGGCCAGCAGAGGTTTGAATCACTTCTCATTTACAGAGGGCAAAGTATGGGAGACTTGGCAGGAACGCCATGGGAAGAGTCATATCCAGAGATAACAAGGGCATAGAGAGATTCAGCAGGAAATGAGATAAGACAGGGGCAAAGTTGAGTGATGTTATGGAGGTAGAAATAGGTGGTCTTAGTGATGGCACAAATGTGTCTTCAGAAGTCATCTCAGGGTCAAATATGATACTAAGATTATGAACAGACTGATTTAGCTGCAGACTGTTGCCAAGGAGAGGACTGGAGTTGGTAGTTAGGGAAATTTGGAGCATGAGCTGAAATCAACAGCTTCAATCTTTCCAATATTTAAGCGGAAAAATGTCTGCTTGTTGCATTAGTAGTCTGATAACTTACCAACAGTGGAGGGATCAAGAATTGTGACAGTGAGGTAGTCAAGTGTTGTCAATGTATACATGAAAACTACACTAGTTTTGAATGATGCCACGGAGGGCAATGTGAAATGAGAGACAGAAGGGGCCAAGGAATAGATAGTAGGAGGAAATGCCATTGTAGGTGATTCTCTGGCTATACTTGGATAATTAATGGAATCAGGTCAGAGGTTGCACCCAGCAAGACAATTGTGGACAGGAATTGGATGATGATAATCTGGCTGACTGTTGTAATCAGATAGGATGTCATTTGTGACGTTGAATAGAGGTATTTCAGTCCTGCACAAGGACGGAAACCAAATTGGAAGGATTCAGTATGGACTTTATGGAAAGATGGGTGTGGTTTTGTAAGGTGACAACATGTTCAAAGGCTCTAGAGAGGAAAGGGAAATTTGCAGTGAGATAGTAGTTTGCACGGACAGTTGGATAAAGGCTTTTTTTTTTATGAGAAGGGTGATTGCAGCAAATATAAAGAAGAGAGAACCATTGAGAGAGTAGGGTTAACACAGGGACAAGAAGGGGTGGGTGAGTCATCAGCTGTTTAATGGAAGTAGGGTTAAGGGAGTATAACAGGAGATAGAAAAGTTCATAGCTACACATATTACTAATATTTGTGTTGTGTAAATTCAAAAATTCAATAGCACGACAGAGTCTAGACTAGAAAAATGTTGGCCTAAACCAGAACAGCACGGAAGGGAGAAACAAATTTTTTCAGACCTGTCAGTGGGAAATTTAATAATGACAATTTTGTGCCCTAAAACCATGCATTTCTTGATGGTACTTATTCTGATGCAGCGAATAACGAATCAAATTCAAACCTTGCCCAGTATTCTTCACATGCATCCTGTGGCCCTTCCACGCAAATCACACCAGGTTTGCCAGGCATACTGAACCCAGTAAGTGAAAGTTCTTTTGCCCACTCGAGAATATTCTTTCTCTTTTCTTTATTATAGATGTGATGGCTGTAGATCCAGAGTCGAGTACAAGTTACGTTTTTGGTTCCAGCAGGTTGTCTGTTTTCAGTTGCAATAGTTTCTTTACTCATGTATTTGGCTGCATGGTCTTTGATCCATTCAATTGCATTCAACATGCAAATCTCACCACAACAATTTTGTCTTAGATACTCATGAAGGTCCATATTTAATTGCGCTTGCTGTGTTCTGTATAAAGCGTCTGATCTGGAAACAAAATATCAGTTACTTCAAACTGGAGTTATCTGGTTTACGGTACTTATACACAGAAAAATCAAAGTATCTGTTCAACTCTGCTCTGAGGAATTATGTTCCTTTTTAAATACTTTTTTCCATAATTGTACTAATAGCATTTGGTAAGACAGATGGTAGTAAATATTTTGAATATGGATATTTTCACCAACATTTATGATGGAATTTCCACCCAAAATGTTACGTTTGTCAACCTTTTTCGAGATGCTAATGGATCTACTAAATCTTTTTAGCATTTTCAGTTTTTATTTTAAGAGTGTGCAGCTTCTTGCTTTGTTCAAACCATCCATAGTTTTACTGGCTCCCATGATGATAAACCACTTATTGTCATCAGCAATCACTCGTTAAAGAGTATGATTGTTTACCTAGGAATAACTAAACCACTTATACTACACAGTGGAAAACTACAACTCCAAGTTTTCTATAATAATCACATGGGCAGACCTGATGGAATCTTGGAGTGGCAACCATCAGCATTTTTCTATTAGTAGAACCTAATTGGGGTGGGTGGGGAAGGAGGGCACAGTGGCACAGTGGCTCAATGGTTAGCACTGCTGCCTCACAGCACCGGGGACCCAGGTTCGATTCCACCCTCAGGCAACTGTGTGTGGAGTTTGCACATTCTCCCCGTGTCTGCGTGGATTTCCTCCGAGTGCTCCAGTTTCGTCCCACAGTCCAAAGATTGTGTAGCTTAGGTGGATTGGGCATACTAAATTGCCTGTAGTATTCAGGGATGTGTAAATTAGGTGGGTTATAGGGGGATGGGTCTGGGTGGGATGCTCTGAGGGTCTGTGTGGACTTGATGGGCTGAAGGGCCTGTTTCTGCACTGTAGGGGTTCTACGATCTACATGTCCAAAGGAGCATCTAACTGCTGAACCTATTTGAATTATGTATGCTACACACCTGTCTTCAAGACTGCTCAACTACTGAGGTCAACCCTTTAAAGGAAAAGTGGAAGATGAACATCAATGTTTAGCTGCTGGAACATTGACAGTATCCCATAATATAGTCCCGTTAAGTGAGCTGAGCACAAATTTCAAATTAGGTCACTCGCAGTGCACATTCAAAATGCCATTATACTGGATTTTTTAAACATTGCTATCAGTCTGAATATTTAAAATACCAGAGTAATTGCACTTCTCCTTTGGGGGATAAAAATGTGGACAGCAAGCCACACAGTTTGTAGCTGCCTCTTGGCTATAATAGCAGCTTCCATTGTGTGCAGGAAAGCAAGGTATGGGAAACTACAAGAGAAGAAACTAATTGACTTATGAAATCTCAACTGTTCCTCACAAAAATAAATTTATTGTAATGTAAATTATGGCAAACACAAACAAGTGAACCCGAAACTGAATCAATAAACAATTTCTGGTTAACCAACATAGTTTGAAAATGTTTTGCTTAAAATGTTTCTTTTCTACCAGCCAATTAGCATGATGATTTGACTTTTTCTTAAAATAAACTGTTACACAAATCCATTCATGCCTGTACTGTACCTTGTTGAAATTTCTGGTATCACTGCTGGATAATTTGGAGGAAAGGAACAAGATAATGCACAAACTACCTATAACAAAAAAGTAATGAAAAATTAAAGGAAATTACTTCACATGTATAATTATTGAAAGGAGTCAAAAGGATGTACATTTCATAAATCATTCTAATACGGCCAATACCAACATTAGGAGTGTCCAGCTGTAGTCGTACTGTGTATTGCAGTCTTGAGGTTGGTGGGATGAGAATCTTGCCCTGCACATAGTCTCTGAGATCTATTAAGGCCAATTGATCATCCACTGAAAGTTCATTCGGAAACATGCTGAACAGTAGTTCCAGTTCAGATAGCTGGGCCTCAGCATTAGCAGGACTGGTCATTTTTGAAAGTATGGCTTTGAAAAGTGTGAGAACCCAACTGAAAACATAAAAAAAGGAAGTTAACATTCTGCATATCAATTGTCAATTATGTAAATGTGATATTACATTTCTCAAGGGAAATTTCTCCAAAACTTTCCTATAATATGCATGGAAGTGTCCATGTGTGGAGTTACCTCACTCCTGATGCAACTGCGTGTAAGTAAATGGTCGGGACATCATTGGAAATACAGTACGTTATTTTCTAAGTGCATTCATTTTATCTAAAGCATAATCAAGCTCATTACCTGCAGCAAATTGGCAATGTAACAAAATTTGAAGTCTCCCAAGCTTAATTCAATAAAATTACTCACACCCTAGTGCACTGAAATGTCATTACTAATTGAATTTCTAGTTTCCATGGCCTTTCTACAGCTGAGTCTACATCCCAAAATCACCATGTCTAGTACACAAGTACAAAAAGTAATCAGAAAGGCCTTTTATTTCAAAGCACTAGAATAAATAAGTGAGGAAGTAAAACTTCACTTGTACAGCTTTCATCAAATCCTATCTGGAGTACAGCATTTTATTTTGGCCATGGACCTCAGGCCTTGTTAGGGCTATTGTTCAGATTTACCTGAATGATATCAGGGTTTAAAAGGTTGAACTATTCAGCCATTTTTCATATATGTGACTTGTATTCCCTGCACTTCTAAGGTTGAGGGATGATTTAATCGACATGTTTAAAATTATGATGGGATAATAATAAGTTAGTTGTGGCAAAGCTCTTTCTTCTGGACGACAATTGTAAAACGTCAGCAACAGTTCTGAATGTTCCAGCTCATACTTTACAGTTATCTGCCAGAAAGGTAAAACCAGTAATGTCTGACTCATTGTTACAACTTTGAGTCTACCATAGTTACAGCAACAAGTGTAGGTTTGGGTTGAAAAGTGGCAGGTAACATTCATGCCACCAAAATGCAGGGCAGTGACCATCTCTAATAAGACAGAAAATAACCACTTCCCTTTGACATTCAATGGCATTAGCATCACTGAATCCCCCACGATCAACATCTTCGGGTTGCCATTGACCAGAAACTGAACTGGACTTGCCAGATAAACATGATGTAGAGGTGCCGGTGTTGGACTGGGGTGGACATGGTCAGAAATCACACAACGCCAGGTTACAGTCCAACAGGTTTATTTGAAAACACAAGCTTTCGGAGCTTCAGTCCTTCTTCGGGTGTTAGTGAGAGAGGTAGTATCAGACATACAATTTATAAGTAAAAGATCAAAGATTCACACCGTTACAAAGATGTACTAAACAAACCTAAGATGCTGCTAAATCTTTAATCAGTTAAAATGTTTTAATTGATTTAATTGATTAACCAAATTAATCCCCAAATTCTTTTCAAGTCACAGTCCTAAGAGAACTAAAGGTTTTATCAGTGTAAAGAAAAGGTGACATTTTAGGTTAGACAATGCATGTTAGGTGCGAGACCTTGTTTAGAATCGGTTTGTATTTTGGTTTAGAGTCAGACTGGTTTTATTTCTAAAGTAGGAATTTATAAATCACCACAGTGACTGACTGTCTTTAGATTGTGTGCTTTTTGAACAAAATATCTGCAAATGCAAATTCACCCAATAGACTCGTATGTGTGTGAAGGAAACGGAGAGAATGTGAGTGAGTGTGCACGTGTGGGAGAGAGAGAGGCAGTGTGTGTATGAGAGAGGATCTGTGTGAGTGTTAGAGTGTATAGTGTGGTGGGGTCACCTGTAGTGCGACATGAACCCAAGATCCTGGTTGAGACCGTCCTCATGGGTATCAAACTTGGCTATCAGCCTCTGCAACTCTGCAATGTTGCGTGTCCCAAAGTCCGCCATGGAGGACATTTACCCGAAGATCCAAGGCCGAATGTCCTTCACCGCTGATTCTAACCAAGGCCTCACACCTAACCTGCATTGTCTGACCTAAAATGTCACCTCTTCTTTAGTTCTCTCAGGACCATGACTTCAAAGGAATTCAGGGATTTACATATACATATTAATCAATTAAAACCTTCTAACTGGTTAAAGATTTAACAGCATCTTAGGTTTGTTTAGTACGTCCTCATCAATGGTGTGAACATTTGATCTTTTACTTATATATCCTGTGTCTGATACTACCTCTCTCACTAACACCTGAAGGAGGACTGAGGATCCGAAAGCTTGAGATTTCAAATAAACTATAACCTGGTGTTGTGTGATTTCTGACCTTGCCAGATAAACACAGTGGCTACAGAAACAGGTCACATGCCAGGAATACTGCAGCAAGTAACTCACCTCCAGACTTAGAGTCATAAAGTCATAGACCCACACAGCATGGAAACAGACCCTTCGGTCCAACCAGTCCATGCCAACCATAATCCCTAATTCCACCTGCCTGCGCTTGGCCCAGATCCCTCCAAACATTTCTTATTCATGTACTTACCTAAATGTCTTTTCAAAGCCTGTCCACAATCTACAAGGCATGAGTCAGGAGTGTGATAGAATACTCCACTCTTGTCTAAATGAGCACAGATCCAACAAAACTGAAGAAGGTTGACACAATCCAGGACAAAACAGCCTGCTTTATTGGCATCACTCCACCACCATTGCACTGCAGAAATTCACCAAAGATCCTTGGACCGCACTTCCAAATCCCCAACCGCTAACAACAGCACCACCTGCATGTTTGCCTCCAAGCCACTCACGACCCTAACTTGGAAATATATTACCATTCCTTTAGTGTCACTGGGTCAAAATCCTGGAATTATCTCTAACTATTGAGAGTCCAACTACAGTACATGAACTGCACAGTTCAAGAAGACAGCTGACCACCACCATCTTAAGGCCAACTAGAGATGGGCAATGGATGCCAGCAAGGCCCACATCTCAAGTGAATAAAATGATCTGTGCATCTTACTATTATGGTCCAATTCTAACAATATTATCAAAGTATCTTCAGTGTACTTCCACTCCTTCACCAAAATTGCCAATTTGTAGCTGCACAGCACTGCCCAACTCTAACATGTGCTCATCTGCACTTTCATGATCTCTCGGTTCAATTACTCAAAAACTCTTCTTGAGACTTCAATTATTTCCACAAACTTTATGATCAATGTAGTCCTCCAATTTTGGCTCCTTCTTCGTTTCTTACTTTATTTAACTGCTTCACCGTGTTTTCAGTTCCCCGGGCCCTAAGCTCTGGAATTCCCTCCCTAAACCATTCTAACCTCCTTTAAGATGATCCTTAAAACCTGTCTCTGACTATGTGTTTGGTCATGGGACCTGATATCTCTTTCTGTGATTTGTTGCTAAAAATACTCGTTAAGTTCTTTAGGACATATTGCTGTATAAATCTAAGTTGTTTGCTGCTGGTTACTAATAGGAACAGAAGATTTACTCTAGATTTCCGCTGCTAAACTTTATTTCCTACGAAAAGGGAGAGACTTTTGGCCTAATCTTAAAACTGAAAAAAAATTCTCGCAGCTTGAAACAAATTGCTGGATAAACTCAGTAGGTCTAGCAGCATCTGTGGGGAAAAAAAAACAGAGTTAACTTTTCAAGTCCAATGACCCTTCTTCAGAATAGTTCTGATGTTGCCAGACCTGCTGAGTTTCTCTGCAATTTCTGTTTTTTTTTCTGATTTCCAGCATCCACAGTTCTTTGTTGCATTCTCACAAATTGACCTGTTCCAGCATGGAGATCACACTTGTGGATGAAAAGTGACTAATTTTGTGATAAATTTACAATGAACATTTGTTCAACAGCTAAGATGAAGAGTTAAAGGTAAGTTTGACTGGTGCTATTTTTTTTAAGAGCTATCCTAGCAACGTCTTTATGAATTGCTTCAGCCATTCCACCTTTCAAAAGCTCAACTGAAGAGATTGTTATCAAAGCTGCTATTCTTTCTGTAGTTAAAACAAACTCTTCCACTCAATTGGAAACTGAATATTTTCAGACATACCTGTGAATTAGGAGCAGTAACAAGCTATTCAGTCCCTTGAGCCTTCTTCACCACTTGTAAAGATCATGACTGATCCAAATGTGGCTTCAATTCCATTTTTTTTATCTGATCACATAACACTTGACTCCCCTGTTAATCAATAAGCTATTAACTCAGCCTTAGATATACTCAGTGTACCAGGCTCCCTACTCTACGGAAGCAAATCAACAAGTTATTGGCCTTTAAGAGAAAAAATATTTTCATCTCAGTCCTGACCTCCTCTTAAACAGTCTATCCCTGCACACCCCCACCCCAAACTCCTGTATTGCTCATTAGTAGAAACATCCTTGTAGCAACCACCCTATTAAGTTCCTTCATATTTCAATATGATTACCACACAAACTCGAATAAGTGAAGGCCCAACCTGGTCAACGTTTCCTCTTAAGACAGGCCATTCATCCCAGTAATACATTGAATGACTATTTGATGAACTGTTTCTAATGCAATTCTATCCTTGAAGTAGGAAGATCAAAAGTGTACAGAGTACTTCTGTTGTGGTCTCATTAAACACAGCAGTGCGTTAAAACTTCCCTATTTGTATATTCCATTCACCTTGCAATAACGGACAATGAAAGTTCAATTTGACTTGAATCATTTGTTATACCCCCATTCAAGCTTTATGTGATTCATCTACCAGGTTCTTCTGTGTTTAAGTTCTGCGGTTTCTCTCTATTTAAATACTTTACATTTCCTATGCTTTCTAGTTCTTCAAAAATTGCTGAACGAATTTACGAACACTGTATTTAATAGTGAACTGCCATCACAAATAACACCATTGTCGTTGCACTTTCTTCAGTCTCTCTTGCCGTTGTCAAAAAATGTCATCGTACTTTCGGAAGGAAACAAAAGCTTTGACCGATGTGTATAAATACTTCCTTAAAGTCCGAAACACCCAAATGACATTTAATGGAGCATTTACACACCTAAATAAACACAACGACGACTATAAAAGACCTGGTCAAAGCTTAACTTAAATGGAAGTTAAATGTAAATATGTCCGGGCAAGTTAAACCTGTTCTTATTTAGGGAGGGGATGGAATACCAAATAAATATAATACCTGCCTATGGCCTGACAGGTCAGTTATGAGCCATTTTTATATGAAATGGAACGGTGTCCAGTACCTGATTGAACCACTCTGTCGCCGCGCCTCTCGGCCCCCGGAACCGCTGCTGATTCCTGGCACTTCCCGGACACCGTCCGCACCGTTCGGTTGCGCATGCGCCATGGTGCATGCTGCTGACCAGCCTGGAGATCCCGCGAGGTAGCGGCCTTCACCGGAGACCGGCAGGTAATAGGGCGCAGGGGAGGGAACAGGCACCAGGAGGGAGAGCTACTCACCCACCCACTGACCACCAACCACCAAAAGGGAGAGGGGGAGTAGGAAGGGGAGAGGGAGGAGAAGGGACCCATAGGTAAGGGTTAGGGGAAGGGCCCCGTGGATGGGGAGCGTATGGGATAGGGGCATGCCCCATGAATGGGGTGGTGATAGGGTAGAAGTGTTAAAGGAAGGGCCCCGTGGATGGGGTGGGTGGTGATTGACAGAAGAGCCCCATGCGTGGAGGTGGGAGTGACGGGGAAGTGCCCTTTGGATGGGTTGGTGGTGTGTGTGTGTGTGTGTGTGTGTCGTTGGGGAGTGGAAGGGATGATCAGGTGATGGGGGTGGAATAGGATGGAGGTGTGGATGGGGGAGGGACAGGAGAGGCGGGGAATAGTTGAAGGGCCCCTAGGATGGGGGAGGGACAGGAGAGGGAAGGAAGGAAGTGGGGGGGGGGGGGAGGGATAGGAGAGGGGGGGAGGGATAGGAGAGGGGGGGAGGGATAGTTGAAGGCCCCCCATGGATGGGGGGAAGAATAGGAGAGAGGGAAATAGTTGAAGGTCCCCCGTGGATGGGGACGACACGGGTGGGGGGTGGAATAGTTGAAGGGCCCCTCTGGATGGGGACGACAGGTTTATAGGGGAAGCACCCTGGTGAGCAGGTGGGAATAGGGTAAGGGCATAGTGGGAGTGTGGGAGAAGAGGGGAGGAGAAGGGTCACTGTGGGAGGGAGGAGGGGAGAAGAAGTCACATGTTTCAACTAATATGTGACAGATTCCTGATTTATTTGATTTAAAGTCTCATCTTTCTATAATTTTATGACCTTATCCTCCTCCTACAATGTACATTTTGCTTCTTTTGATTACATTGTACTTTTAACATAATAGATTAGCAGGCAATTCATGGGAAGCATTCCAAAACAAATATGATTCTGAGCCGCCTGAGATATTTGGGCAGAAGTCTTGATGAAAGACAAAGGTTTTAAGCAGCATCTTAAAGGACAAAAATGAAGCTGAGGCATTAAGGGAGGAATAGATGATAGCAAAAGAGCTCATCTGTTGCTAAAACTAAGTAGATTGAGGCTGAACTCTTGGAGGTAGTGGGATTATGGAAAATAATAGTGTTTGTGCTCTATCTTCTGATCCCCATACAGATCATTAATTTTTAAAAAGTGATTTTTCCAGTGACAATACAAAAGAATTACATAGATTTGAGAGTTTTACTGTGATAACATAAAATCAACATGGCTAAACATTTCTTATTGGGCAACCAATTTGCTAAACTACAGAAAAGGTATTGCCCTCTAACTTCTCAGCATGTCAGAAAACCCCACATCTCTCATGCATGATATAGCAATCTCCATGGATATGGTATCTTTAAATTTAAAGTCCAACTCCTTTAGCTTTAACCAGTTCTCCTCTCCCTGCTTCGCCAAAGTTAAGCTCCCAATGACCTTTCAAGTCCTGTTTGCTCAACCCTTTGAACATAGTTGGACAATTTCCCCATTAGGTGATGCCGTGGTCTCTAATTCTTCCCAATCTTCTTTCTTCACGTCATTATTGCTCAGTTTACATGCCTCCGAGATCTACACTTGTTACTTTTATTTCATCTTTCCCAATAACAAAAGTATTCCCAAAAACCTCAGCTATTTTGAAATGCAGTCATTTACGTTTGCATTCTTGCCTTCTAAAAATAGTTCAGTGGATGTCGTATGCATTCTTCAGGTTTTCTTGTCTGTGATTACTTCCTGAACTGCTCCTGTATTCCTGCTAATATTTTCTACCCTTGTAGAGTGTCTTTGAATGCACTAAAATTGTTAGTTAAGTATAAATTGATATGACCAACGAAATCAAAATAAACCAAAAGTCAATCATCTAAAATACTCCCAAAATGGTACAGCAAGGCATTTATTTCTGTTATTCCAATCTTTTGTTTTTTATCGATGAACTGAGGGAGGGCGCAGTATCATTGAGAGATTGAAAAAATGCAGAATAGCAGAGCATCAAGACAGCTGAGTGCAAAGCTGGGGGAAGAAGTAATAAGGTCCATTTCTTAGCAACTCTCAATCTTGTAGATGAAAATAATTTATTGAATAGGAGGAAGCAGACAATAGGAAATAGGTGTTTTGAAGAGGCAATATTCTGCAGAGAAAAGGAATCTTTAGATTATATTAATTTACAGACTACAGCCTCTTCAAAACACCTATTTCTCATTGTCTGCTTCCTCCTTTTCAATGTCTTTAGTTACATTAATTCTCCAGAATGGTATAGTAGCTTTCTTGCACGATTAAGTGAGATCTGGTGAACGAGAACATGTATTCTATGTTTGCTTGAGTTTTCACTCTTCTGAACTCAGAGTACTCCTCTGTGCTCCAAACGGAAGCGATGAAAGGAGATGAGTAATTGTTAGGAATGAGCATCAAAGGCAGAGAGAAAGGAACAATTTTGCAAATCAATAGTATTAGACGTGGTTGAGAGCCAGAGAAAGATTTACATATATATAACATCTTGCAGAACCTGAAAAGTGTTGCAGTCTGCCTTGCAGCTAATCAAATAGTTTGAAGTTATAGTCAGTGTTGAAGGAAACGTAATATACCATTTGGACACAGCATTGTTGTTGCAGTTGTACAGGGCCTTGGTGAGACCACACCTGGAATATTGTATGCCGTTTTGGTATCGTTTTCTGAGGAAGGATGCTCTTGTTCTCAAGGGAGTGCAGCGAAGGTATACCAGGGATGGTGGGTCTGACGTATGAGGAGAGATTGAGTAGCTTGGGATTGTTTTCACTGGAGTTCAGATGAATGAGGGGGGAATCTCATAGAGACTTATAGAATTCTGATAGGATTGGACAAGGTAGATGCAGGGAGGATGTTCCCGATGGTGGGGGTGTCCAGAACTAAGGGTCACAATGAGGATTTGGGGTCGACGATTTAGGACGGAGATGAGACATTTCTTCACCCAAAGAGTGGTGAGCCTGTGGAATTCATTACCACAGGAAGTGGTTGATGCTGAAACATTGAATCTATTCAAGAGGTGACTAGATATAGCACTTGGGGAGAATGGGATCAAAGTTTATGGAGAGAAAGCAGGATTAGACTATTGAGTTGGACAATCAGCCATGATCATGAAGAATGGCGGAGTAGGGTTGAAGGGCCAAATGGCCTCCTTCTGCTCCTGTCTTCTATGTTTCTATGTTCCACGAACAAAATTTTTTGTCAGTCTGTTCTTTGTTGTGTTGGTTGAGATGTGAATGTTTGTCAGGGCAGCAAGTAAATTGTAACAGTGATCTGGAATCTTTTGCATCCGTCCAAGAGGCATATGGAATCTCAGTTAAGACTGCATTTTCGATTGATTTATTTTGCACAATTCAGCACTGCGTGGAAATGCGAGTGTAGGTTTTGTGCTCTCGTTGATGGGATGAGACAAACTTCTGACTTGGAGGCAAAAATACCATCTCTGAGCTACAGACAATGCACCGAAGGAGTTAGGAGCTTAAGGGTGAATTTGTGAGAAACCGGGGAGAGATTCTTTCCTTCAGATGAATGATTAATGTAGTGAGGTTTGGGATACAACAGAATATAACTTGGGGGAGATGGGAACGAAATCATGAATGTGAATTTTGTGCACTGCTGAATATTCTGATATACTCAACATTTTTTCTTGCAGACCTTTTGTTTGTGTTCTGTGTGGTACATGTTTGTGAAATTATTTTTAATTGGATAACACAACGAACCTGAAGTTAGTGAAGATATCATTTTAATCAGCGTGTTCAGATATGTTATGACACAACCCTGGGGCGGGTCAGACTTAAAGCTCGGCCTCCTAGCTTAGAGGGAGAGACGTTACCACTGTGCTACAAGATCTGTCCTGAAGTTGTTGTATAAAACCACAGTTTTACACCTGATTAATTTTTTATTTGTCTTTCCGTTTTTGTAAACCCTGTAGTTGAGGAGTATTGCAGCAGCAACATTGAAATGGGAAAGAAAAAGGAAAGACAGAATTCTCCACAGGACGATGAGACCTCTGATAGCTATGGTAAGAAAATGCTACTTCAGTTACAGATTGTAGTGAAGTGAAATGAGACTTAACAGCAAGGAAGGTCTGTCACAAACATGATTGGCCAAATGGCCTGCCCTGTGCTGGACTGTTCTATGAACTTGAAATCCTACAAAGTGCATTTTTTCTTTCAAATTTTTAAAATTCTTTTTAGTAAAATCTATCTTGTGCATGGAACTACGTTTCAAGTAATTTAAGGTCAAATAAATCAATTATCAAACCTCAAAATAGTTATTGTTAAAAGAAAATTGCAAAGGCCTGAAGCTACATTTGGCTAGAATGTTTATTTTACTGTAAGTATTTGCTGTTTTCTAAATAGGCATCAATATAAGGCATCTTTAGTTGGTTTTCATTACTGCTGTAGAGTTTCAAAGTGACTTGAGTATTTTATGTAATAAACTTGTTGCTTGGTAGATGGACACAACTGAATATAACAGATTCTGGAGACATCCACATTAGACAGGGCAACATCATTGTGCTTTCCTTGTGCAATAGATAGTATGCATTGTACACCAATTTTAAAACTAGGATTGAGGTGATCACAGTTACTACCTGGCCACAGAACTTTCTAAACAAAAGATTTCTAAATTTATGGACAACACCAAATTGAGAGTCAATGCTTAGGAAGATTGGAACAAATTACAAGAAGACATTGATAACTTTACAGAGTGACACGATATTGCCCAATTTCAACATAATGAAGTATGAGGTCTTATGTTTTAAAAAGAAAAAAAAGGTCACACATTACTTGGGAAATAAGAATCTAAATGAGGTAGAACAGAAAAGGGATCTGGCAGTACAAATAAAAAATCCAATAAAGGTTGCTGCATAGGTTAATAAGGCACTTAAAGGATACAAATTAAATACTGAGTTTTTGAAATGAGAAATAGAAACATTATCCTAAAAGCCTGTATGGTTACTCGGCATAACCATACTTCGAGTACTGTGTGTAGTTTTATTTCCTATTTTATGAAAAGGATATGGAGATACTGGGAGGGTGCAAGAGAGATTTACCAGTACTGAAATGTAAAGAGAAGGCTGAAGATTGACGTCAGAGGGGCCTCTAACGTTATGAAAGAGTTTGAAAGTAGAGACAAAGTATTTATACTTAGAGAAGAGCAAAACTAGACTGTGTCAATATTGAGTTTTCGAGAAATACAAGGGAATTCTGGAAAAAAAAGCATTCTTTGCTCCTAGCTGAGCGAGAATGTGGAACTTAGGAAATAGGAATGTGGAACTATAGGAAATGGTTGAGGCAAATTGTATAGATGTATGTGGGTAGCAATCTAATAATGAGAACAAAGGAAATGGAAGATAATGCTGGTGGATGAGGCAGGATGGAAAGAGATGCAGTGGAGCATAACAACCAGTTTGGCCTGTTTGGATCGAATTGACTATATCTGCACTATATATTCTCTATATCAGTGACCAGTGACATGAATTCACAAAGCATAAGGTGATCGTAAAGCAAAAAGAACTTTGGTAGCACCCTTCTCATCTCCAAAGTACTTCACTGCCAAAGAGGTACTTTAGGATTGTAGTCACTGCAGGCAGAAGTATCTGCCGGTTCAAGCGCAGCAAGCTCCTACAATGTAATAAATAACCAGGGAATCTATTAGTATTGGGAGCACAATCCTGTTCTTCAGATAACACTATAGAATCTTTTATATCCACCTGAACAAACAAAAGGGAAATGGTTTAATAATTCAAAACAGATGGCACTTCTGACAGTGAAGCATTCCCACAGTACTGTGAAGAATTCCCACAGTACCTTGAAGCATCAGCTTTATTTTTTTTTGGAGAAGAACTTGAAACCACAGGCTTGTATTTCAGAGGTTTAGGTTTCTATCCCTGAATTAAGATTGATGTCAATATTAATGTGCTTTGTAGAAGATGTTTTATTGTCTGACAAAATGTGGGAAAATGTAATTGTAGACAAAATGTGAGGCCATGCATTATCGATTTTAAAAAAAACTGCCTGAATGCTCCAAATTGCATTCTGCATCTTAAAATCCAGACAGCAAGGTAAGCAGATTGTGTACATTTGATTACTTAAATTGTGCTGTAACCAGCTGTTATAAGGTGCAGTCAATAAATGTGAAGCTGGAAAAGCACAGCCGGTCAGACAGCATCTGAGGAGCAGGAACGTCAACGTTTCCATCATCATGATGGTGTTTGACATTCCACAAATATAAATACATCTTTCAGGTTGAGAGATTGTTCAGTAATAACGATAAAGTATGCTGTTTAAAATCCAAGTTACACCTTAGTAAGGTTTTGCTTCAGGGATTTTTACGAGACACGTGGTATAAAACATGGAAGTTAACATCAATTCTTGTGATTTTTAAGATTTCCAGCTGTGGAAACGTTCATCCAGCGGAGGAGCAGGCAATCACTGGTAGCAATGTCCATGTATAATGGCACATGTACATTTGGCAGGAATGCTTCCCCTCTGTTTGAGAGTTTATAACAGTAACAAATACTGACCGTTTAATTGTCTTTAACACACAAAATCCAGGCCAGCAATTTTTTTTTTTTTCAGTTCTCTTTGCACCTAGCAAAGATTAAGAACTCAGTGAGAATTTTCAAGTATCGGTCTGTATCCTCCTCAATCCGATATAAAGGTACACTAATAAATTCTGCCATTGGCTGCAGGACACCGCAATGCTGTAACCTTCTGCTCATGCTTCGGATTACTCCAAATTAATGTAAGAACACATTCGTTTAATGTTTTACGTCATGTACTTGTGTTGAACGTTGTTGGTCTTGAAGCACCAATTCACATTAAATCTTGCATTACACTCTTTGCTTCAGAACAAAAATGTGTATTGAAATCAATAACGAAGCACATGCAATTCAGTACCAAATTCACATGTCTTAAACTACATTTTGCTATGTTTTTGAATTTATTACAGTGCCACAATGTTTACATGTTCGTAAGGGAGTGAATCTAAACCAGATTAAGAAACAGTTACATCAGCGCTGTTGGAATGTTTGTGAAGACTGCAAAACGAATGCCAAAACAGAGGAGAAACAAGAACTTGATGACCATCCAACAGTCTGGTTATGCTTAAAATGTGGGCATCAGGTAAATTGCCATTTGACTGAAATATTACTCTGTGAAGTATCCTAAGATCTATGTAAACTTGTCACAGAGTTATAAAGATACACAGCACAGAAATAGACCCTTTTGCCCAATTCATCCATGCTTACCAAGTTTCCTAAACTAAAATTGTCCTAATTGCCTGTGTTTGGCCCATATCCTTGTGAACCCTTCCCATTCATATGCCTGTCCAAATGAATTTTAAATGTTGTAACTGTACCTGCATCTTCCACTTCCCCTGGCAGTTCATTCCACTTGTGTTCTGAGCCATCTGTTTCAGGCTATTAGTTTTCTTCATTTGATCATGTTGCCCAAGTAACTTCAAATTTGGTAAATATGTTGCATGTTTAGTTCACTTTTGTAGCTTATAGCACAATATTTTAAGTGTGATATGAGTACTGAAATTTATGTTCATTTCTACAAAGGTGGCTTTTTGATTACTTTGTGTTAAATGATTAATTTGTTTTATTAAACGGCATATAAATTGAGTAATGCATTAATAGATTCAATATGTGTAATTAATGATGTTTAAACTGGTAACTAACTGTCACAGATTGGATTCTTCTAAATCGTAGCAATAGCAACAAATGTAATTTTGAGTATCACAGCACAATTGTATTGTTTAAGGAGCTACTGAATAAACAAAATATTCATTTTTGAAAATTACATTATAGAATTGTCCTGGTTAAATTTGAAGTTTTCAGTGTGGAAGTTAATGTATTCAGCAGCTGAAGTTTGTTAACAACCCTGTTGCAGCATGGTGAACCTTATATAGAGTACTTTTGTAAAGTTACTAGTTTTTCAACACAATCTATTAGTTATTTCAACATAATAGTTTAACTTGAAGGATCACATCAATGTTTAGATATCTTGAGTGGTTAGTAGTGCCTGCGTTTTTAATTTTACCATTGTTGAGAGCTGCCATGCACTCTATGCATGATTCTACTTTGTGACAGTAATACAGTTAAAGTTATATGCATGCAACTTACAATACAGAGAAAACTTCCAGGTGATGCTTTTTTTTGTTTCTTTTATGTAGTATGTGATGATTTTCTCCAGCATTCCACAAATGTCTGTGAATGATTTGTATTTTTAGGGTTGTGGAAGGAATTCAGAAGAACAACATGCCCTTAAACATCATGAGAAGCAGCATTCAGAACCACATTGTGTGGTTCTTAATTTGGACTGTTGGACTGCATGGTAGGTTCAACATTGCATGAATGGTGGCATATTCATGCATTATGACCTGTAAATAGTGCTGCACTATATCCATTTTTGAATCAGTTTTGATGCTGAATTGCAAAATGTTTGTGGGATCTTGATTAAGCAATGCAGGAGCAAAAAATACCTCTCCTTAAACTGTCAGAAACCTAGTACTTCCGAAAAACTGAAGAATCCAGCACTTACAAAAAGATTTTTGAAGTGTCTGATTCCTTCTGGAAAATAACTGCACAAGGCTGGATCTTGTGGAGATTAACCACCATCACCAAGGTCAGGTGTTGAACTTCAGAATTGTTTTCCATCAGCCACAATCCCACAAAGGTATAAGCTAAGAAAGATTGTTATATGACCTTGCTGTAAGTATAGTAGTAATGAAGTGGTGTTAACAATGGTTTGGGGAAAATTTGCAGAACTGGCAATTTATTCTTCTGATTATAGGAATGTGCTGTGGTGTGGAGCTGTAGAGCAGCTATATAAGCATGTGTTTATAGAGAAAGAGTACTGCTGTAACAAAATAAAGATTGGAAAGAATGGTCGTAAATTAAGATAAAATGTTTACATAATTTGAGTTTAGTTTGATTTAATTCTTCACTATTTTGTTACAGGTGCTACTTATGTGATGACGAAATACATTATGAAGTCAAAGATCAGTTAGGTCAATTTGTAGCATATATCCAAAAAAAGACTGCTGACAAATGTGTAAAAGGAGGTGAGTTATCCAGAAGGTAGTTCAAATTAAATAATTGTTGTATAAATATATAATTGTCATTTATAAATTTAAATGTCATTTACTACAGTTTATTCCTATGTTGCTGAGTATGAAGTTGCAGTTGCTGCAGACTGCTGGAAGTTGCTGTTCTTCATGGACTAAACGGGTACAGATGTACAAATTAACAAATGATTTATAGTTTTCCACTAAGACTGCAGAACAAAAATAAACAGCTTATTTGACGAAAGCCATCTGAAATGTGTATGTGTGCACTTGTTATAATTGGCACCTGTGGCATTCAATTAACTTACGACTGTTGTAGTGGGTGTGGTGGTAATAGATGATGGAAATGGTTAATGTGTGGAGCAAAGATGCATCTAGTTTAAATTGCCTGTATTTCTAATTTCAGCTATGATGGCTCAAACAAATGAAAAAAATAAGGGAAAGGAAGATAATACTACAGAAACTGGGAAACATGAGAAAGGAAAGTCTGTGGCGCAAATCAACCAACAGATATCAGTGAAAGGACTCAGCAATCTTGGCAATACTTGTTTTTTTAATGCTGTCATGCAGGTGATTATCAAGTATCAACGTGTTGCATTGACAATCTAAAAGCCCTAGCTGGCTTATGTTTTCCATTTAGTTGACCATTTAAATTGCAGACTTAAAATTGTACTAATGGGAAAACATTATTAGAGATTTCGTGCAATTGAAGTCTATAATTGTAAGCAGTCATTTACTCAGAAGCCAAATACTATTTTGTACTTTCTATCCCTGCTTCCGCGGTGCTGTTGTGTTTTAAGACTTTTTATGTAAATGTTTGAGGATTATCTGAGTTTTTGTTTTGTTTTATTCAAGTTTTTTTTTAATATTTTCTAACAATTGAAAGGAACAGACTTTCTTTATCTTTCTTTATTCATTCAGATCTTATCACAGACCTATGTACTGCATGAGTTGATTCAGCAGTTAAAAATGAATGAAACTACACTGACAATTGTGACACCTGATTCTTTAAATTTGGTAGGTGATGACTTACTTGGAAGTCTTACAGTTTATACTTATTGTAATAAATGTATTATAATACAAAATATCACCCATCTTTTTGAACTTTTATTGGTTTTCTATCCTTGTATCTTTTAAAGCTTTGAATCATTTATTCTCTGCTCTCAATGATGCCTAACGAACATGTTGCACGCTGTCATCATTTAAGGCATATTTCAGGAAAGCTAGCAAAAAAAAAGTTTGGTAAGATTTCCTTGTGAATTGGCAAAGTATCTACAAAAATTAAAATATATTTAACTCCTTGCACAAGATGAATTGCAACTTCTGATCTTAGAAAGAATGTTTGTTAGCTGGAGGTAATCATTCAGTTACAGCTCAGTTTCTTTTCTTTTAAGATGTTAGAATGTTGCAAAATCACAATGTTTAGTTGAATGCAAATCTAAAAATTGTACAGTTGTGTTTGATTTCCAGATTACTTTATGTAGTAGCTTTTCAGCTCCTAATTGACCATATTTGTACAAGGATCATGAAAATTGAGTGGCTTTAATCAGAAAAGATCAACTAAGCCCAGCCAGATCCTGTTCTACATCCCACTAAAGGATCAGATGTTGGTATTACCTAATTATCACCAGAATTGCTTATTTGGTTTTAATTCTTTGAATCTCAAAATCTCAAATTTGATACATTTTCATTAAAAACAAATGTTTTGGCCTATTAGCTTCTCTTATCTTTAAACTCCTGCTTCACTCCAGACTTCATATTTAAATTAGAAATTTTCTAAAGCTCAACACTGTTGGAAATGGCCTAATGTACCTTATAAGTAAATACAGCTCAAAGGGATACGTACTTCATAGCATTTTTTTAAAGTTTGCTCCTCGACTCAAAAGTATTTTAATGAAAGTGCTACAGATGCTTCTGATGTGTAAAACAGAAAGTGTTGGATATGCTCAGCCAATCTGGCAGCATCCATGGAAATTGAAGCAGAGCTAACCCTTCTACTCCAATATGACTTCTTTTGACTGTAGAGCTTTATGAATTTTACTTTAAATTATCAGGGACAGCTAGAGATTCACCTTGATCAACCAGGACCACTGTCATCAGCAATGTGCCAATTTCTTCTTGACTTCCAAGATACCAAAAAGAACGTTGTCACTCCAAAGGAGCTGTTCGCTCAGGTCTGTAAAAAGTGAGTATCACCAATCATCAATATGTAAGTATGATGTCAATAATAATCAGACCAAAACATCTTGCAGTGTTTTTCAGAATTTTCAGAACAAACATAACAGTTTGAAATTATCACTGTTCGACTTGTGAATAATAGTTTTTTATAATAAAATTTACATTGACTAGGTGATTTTTTTTGCTGAAACACTCACTTGCAAAAAATTTTGCTGGTTTGAATTTTAGCAAATTGTCTATCTTGACCTGATAACAATTCTCAATAACGATAGCATTCCACTATAATTTTATTAAATTTCTTCTACAATTAAGTTATAACCAGCAGTAAAATGAATAGAAATACTTGCCTTAATTTGCTGCTTCTCATAAGCTCAGCATTCTAAAGCACATTGCAACTCCTTAAGTTTTGTTTTAATGTATTCACCATTGTAGGAAATGTGGCTGCCAACAAGCAAGTAAGTAGAAAGGAGTGAAATAAATAACCTACAAATGACACTAAAGAAAGTTAAGTGTGGGTCAGGACACTAGGAGAACTTTTGTTCTTTGACAATTGCTTTAGAAACTTCTAAGTATGCCTGAGAAGGCAGTTAGAACCTTGGTATAAAATTTAATCCAAAATAGTGTAGTCATGCTTATGTACTGCAGTATCAGTGTTTTTTATCGAAAGACATAAAAAGAGATGAATTGTGTGAAGAATGTCTGTTTTGTAAATATGGACCATTTACATGTTTTTCTTCAAATGTGTTCCTTAGAGCTGTACGATTTAAAGGATTCCAGCAGCAGGATAGCCAGGAGTTGCTTCGTTACTTATTAGATGGAATGAGGACTGAGGAGATCAAAGTAAGTGTACTGCAGTGGTTATCAGCAACTGTTTGTAACTATTACACTGAAATGTAAACCAGATGAGTGACAGTGAGCTGAGGGATGAATATTAGAATTACATTTAACAATAAGTTGCGAGGATTTGTTCCAGCTTTACGAAGTAGCCTATTAACACGATAAGTGTGAGGTATTCTACATAGGCCAAAATACATGGGCCTTACCTTAATAGTGACTAAAACTAGGTGTGACGCTCAACTTTCATTGCCTGGCCAATATGGCAGAGCAATTTATAAAACCTAATAGGATGCTGCAATATATAGCCAGGACAGTGTTACTCCACCTTAAATTTAGTGACTAGTTTTGATTGTTACACCTTAAAGTGCAGGAATTGGACAGGTACAAAAAAATAGCATTGAAATTAAAATTTGTGCTTTGAGCAGTCAAACTGATTCTAAGCATGAAGGGGATATCTAGAATGGACTGGGAAAAGATAAAATTTGATGATACAAGCAAGTAAACAGTTAAGAGATGACCTCATTATATTAATCTGAGTTTGATTTATTTGTTACACCAAAGTAAGCCAGGAAAGTGGGATCATAAATAGTGAAAAGTAAAAAAACAAATATCAGGACAACTTTCAATATTCAAAGGCGATAAATGTTTTGAATAATCACCTAAACTGCGTAATAGAAGCAAATATATTAGGAACAAAAACAAAGTTGCTGGAGAAGCTCAGCAGGTCTGGCAGCATCTGTGGAGGAGAAAACAGAGTTAACGTTTCGGGTCCGGTGACCCTTCCTCAGAATAAATATATTAGCTTAGTTTAAAATGTAGCTGGGTGCCATGATGGGTGAATTCATGTATGAGAGTGGATTTTTATGGGAGGGAGAGTTTATTTTAAATGAGAAGTTTGAGGTGATTTTTGCCTTTTATATAGGGATGTAACATAAGAACCAGGAGCAGGGTTGGCAGTTCATCCCCTTGAGCCTGCTCTGCCATTTAATACATTCGTGGTTGATCTCATTTTGGCCTCAACTCCACTTTTTGCCCATTCCCCATAACCCTTCAAACCCTTATAATTAAAAATCTATCTATCTCGTCCTTAAATTTACTCAATGTGCAAGCATCTGTCTCACACTAGGTTAGTGAATTCCACACTTTTATGACCCATTGAGAGAAGTAATTCCTCCTCATCTCTGTTTTAAATCTGCTACCCTTTATCCTAAAACTACGAGTTCTCATTATAGATTGCCCCACATGTGGAAACTCTCTACGTCCACTTTGTCAATCCCCTGTACCCTCTTGTATACCTGTCTTCTAAATTCCGGAGAGTATAGGTCTAATCTGCTCAATCTTTCACGATAAGACAAACCCTTCCTCTCTGGAATCAATCCAGTGAACCTCTTCTGAACTTAGTGCAATGCAAGTAAGTATTCAAAAACGGTATACAATAGTGCAATGCAAGTAAGTATTCAAAAACGGTATACAATACTCCATGCACATTTTTAAGAGTATTCAGTGAACAGTACTAAGTGCATCTAAATAGTTCATATTTATCTGTGATGCATTATCCATTTGGAAATGGGTCAAGATAAATTATCCGCAGAGTTTAGTTATCTGATCAATGTAAATATTGTGTTATATTAATTTGCATATGATGTTGTAAGTACAGTCTACACCACTTGCTCCATCCCTGTTTATTCTGAACAGTCACTTATATCGGAATAACTGAAAAACTGAAAAACCGAAATAACTGTGGATGCTGTAAATTAGGAACAAAATCAAAGTAGCTGGAAAAGCTCAGCAGGTCTGGCAGCATCTGTGAAGGAAAAAACAGAGCTAACGTTTTGGGTCCGGTGACCCTTCCTCAGAACTGATAGTGCCTGGGAAAATGTCAGTTTATATGCAGAAAATAGGGAGGTGGGT